ACACACACACACACACACACACACACACACACACACACACACACACACACACACACACATAATTTTACAGATCCCTGGAACACTTCACTCTGATTGGTCAGTTGTGGCATTCAGCATTCAGATATTTTTGGAAAATGGCCAGCTGACTCTACATGATCTCTTAGATATATTTCTGCCATATGTGCCCTAAATGAAATCAAGTATTACAGAAAAACAGAATGAGTCCTGTATAGTACATGTGACCCACCTCAGTGATTCGAGGGTTGGTGCACTTGACATTCGTGCTGGCGAGGTGAAGCCAGCGGCTGGTGTAGGGGTTGGACATGGGACAGTGCTGGCGTAGGGTACAGCGGCCCTCCATACTGCACCAACCACACTGAAACTTTCTCTCGGCCTTCAAACACACGCCGCAGCTGTCCCTCTGAGCGCCACACTTATACAGGTGCACTGTGGGATACATGTGGAAATTAGTAAAGTGTTTTTAAATGAATGCTGCAATAAGGATTTTATTTGGTGTAAAAGTTTTTATAAAGTTTTCTGACTTAGGTTGACCTATCTGACAGTTTAGTAGAGCTATTGATCATAAACGTATGAAGACTGATGAAATCATGAAGCTCAGCACAACCGTGATGCTTAAGAGGTTTTGCTGAGCATGAGAAAAGTAGCTTCAGACTTTCATTTTTTTTTTTTTATAAAAACATGGAATGAATAATAATCAGTCCAATCAATCACCTCAACTTTTATTTAGGGCAGAATGATTCTAGGAGGGTTAGACAGGTTATAGAGTTTTGGTTTAAAAACACATTATTACCTTTGATATTCTCAGGATTGTCAATGATGAAGTTTCCATTCCACACCACTGAGAAATCCACCGGCAGCTCACTGATCCTCATCCCTTCATACAGATACTGCAGAGAGACGGAGAGATGGAAAGAGCTTGCAACATTTTCCTGACAGTGCAAACGCTGAGATAATGTAAAGTTTATGACATTTTTTATTGGATTTACTCTTTGCCTGTGTCAATTATTAATTACAACATGCAGCCAAACAGTGAACAAATAAATGGCAAAGTACACAAGCAAATAAGATGAGAGAGAAAAAGAGACCGAAAGAGAGGTAGTTTGACTGTATTAGTGCTCTTATTGAGTTACTCCAGACTTGCATCATCAGTCTGAGGAATAAGGAAGATTTTCAACACTCCTATTTTCTACAGCTTGGACATTGAGCTCTAATTGCCTTCATCTCTACTTACATTGTGTGTGTGTGTGTTCGTTTGAAAGATAATGACTGAAAGAGAGTGAAAGGTGGAGGTAGAAATGCAAAATATATCTTGGCTGTGCTCATTTCCCGATTCTGTGCAATATAACATCACAAACAGGTAACCAGTGTTTAATTAGCTAAAAACTGTGCTTTTCTGGAACTAGGTTAAGATCAAATTGAGGCATTAATTGCTCTCTTTCATAGCTTAGATTATAGTAGATACATTTAATGCACTGTACGTATCCACTTTGCTTTTCCTTAGGAGAAACAAATGAGGCAACTGCTGCTGTACAGTAAGAGTATAGTGTTTTAAAATAATGTAAATAGTGTAGCTCAGATAGTTTAGGTTTAGAAAGAATCCGATTACTTAATATCTTGGCAAATATGAGCTCAATTTGAGACTTTTGAGATCTCTTCTGAAACTCAGGATTTTTTCTCACAGCTTGTAGCTACAAAACCAATCTGGTAAGTATAGCTCAGATAATTTGGTCTTGGAAGAATTTTATGAAAAAATGAGTAAGGTAATGCCGAGATCTTCAATTATTTTAAGTTTCAATTATACACTAGATGCTGTATCCTAGCAAATCTCAACACACTGTTGAGATCTCTTATGAAACTCTGGACTCGTTCTCATGAGAGAAAAGCAGGAGACTTAACGATAAGTCTCAGTTTGTTTTCAATAAAATCTTATTGATGTCTAAGAGAAATAACTGAAATTTCATTATGATCTTTGCCATGCAAACCCAAACACATACCGAGCTGTTCTGGCACTGCACACTGGAGCTGTTGAATCTGAGCGCCGTGACTCTGTGAGTGACTCCTTGTATGTGTAACACACACTCGTAGCCGCGCTGACCCGACTGAGGTTGTGGAAGGTTCCGGGCTTTCAGTGTGATGGGCTTCACCTCCCCAGCCGGGATCAGGATCTCCTCAGAGCGGACCAGTTGAGGACAGTCCTAAAGGAGTGAGAGGTGAAAAGGTAGTCAAGACAAACACATGCACACGCATAAAAATCCTAAACCATTCGAGTAGAGAACATGAAATCTGAATTGATAGAGTCTTAAAGAAACATACAGTGTACAAAGAAATGCACACACTTCAGCTTCACACATGCTCCCCATGCTCACATACACACACAGTGAAACCTTAGGTGCTCTTTAAAAGCACGTTGATGTGTTACTCTCTAAAAGCTGTGTGTGGAGATGATGTACGCCAGTAGGTCAGCCTGTGAGAGGCATCCCTAAGTAATACCAGAAACATGGAAACAACTCTATGTAAGCAGGCATGCGCATTGCAGGCATACACTCCTGTTGGAAAATAAAATAAAATAAAAAATAATAATAATAATAAAACAAAAACAAAAAAAAAATTTATTAAATAAATGCTGCATCATTCAGTTAAGTACAACTTAATTTGTGCAAATACGTTGTTTCATTTATATACACTTAAAGTTGTTAATGAAATATTTTTTAATTAAAATTAATAAAAAAAATAAATGTTTTGTTTTGTTTTATTTATATATGAAAATTTTATTAATTTTAAAGTTAAAATAAATAAATAAATAAATAACGTATTATTTATAAACCACTATTGCCCTTGAAGATGTCCACATAACCTTTTTGTTATATTTAGCTAACTTCTAGGACAGCAATTTTCTCCCTAAAGTATAAGGTTAAAAACACACACAAAGATACACAAACATACAGTTATACACATGCAAGCCTGAACACATGAAAATGCACATGTACACACACCATGAGTGATGGTGCACCGTAAGGATTTTTTTGCCTGTTTTGTGCATATGCCTGTGTGTGAATAAGTGGGAAGTCTGTGTGTGCTGTGAGGGAGAATATTCCGGATATCGACTGCTAATTGCTCGCTGTGAGAGGGTGAGCAAGTGTGTTTACCACCTGACAGGGTGTAATGTAGCACATTGATCAGCTGAACACCTGCAAATGCACACACACACACACACACACACACACACACGCACGCACGCACGCACGCACACACGCATGCTCTCTAGCGAGGCGACCGTCGACTTCACACACACTTTTTCAGCAGCTATTATTGGAAGCTCTTCCCCAGAGGTTTGTGATCCTGTAGATTTGCTACTGAGAGACTCTAACCTCAACACACAGTGTGTGTTTGTGTGTGTACCTCTGAGGCGTTGACGCGTCCCTCCTGGAAAGAGCAGCTGGAGGGGTCGTGGGTGCAGAGGTTTCTGTATTTGCACCAGTGGCAGCGGAAGGAACTGGTCACACAGGAAAGACACCTAAACAGATGGAAAGAGCGTGCACAGGCAAGAGAGAGACACACACACACACTCTCTCTCTCTCTAGCGAGGTGACCGTCGACTTCACACACACTTTTCAGCAGCTATTATTGGAAGCTCTTCCCCAGAGGTTTGTGATCCTGCAGATTTGCTACTGAGAGACTCTAACCTCAACACACAGTGTGTGTTTGTGTGTGTACCTCTGAGGCGTTGACGCGTCCCTCCTGGAAAGAGCAGCTGGAGGGGTCGTGGGTGCAGAGGTTTCTGTATTTGCACCAGTGGCAGCGGAAGGAACTGGTCACACAGGAAAGACACCTAAACAGATGGAAAGAGCGTGCACAGGCAAGAGAGAGATAGAATAAAGTATTACTACCACTCACATGAAGTCCCTGATTTATGATCCAAAGCCCTTTTTTGAGGCTACTGTGAAAGTAGTCAGCATAAACCGTAGCTCTGGGTTTTAGATTAGCAATGGGGAGCAGGTTGTGCCTTTGAGACCAGCACTGCTGTGTCCTTGACCTTTGTGGCTTAATGCTGAATAAATTAAAAGTGTGCTGCGGAAATTTGCATGTGCCGTTGGATAGCACTGTGCCACTGAAACTCTCATACAGATGTACTGCGGCTCTGCAAAGGTTAGAACTCAGACGTACAATTATCACTCTAGAACTGAGACATACAGATTTTAATAAGACATAGTCATGCCATGACATATGATTTGCATTAGGTCTATATTGTCTGCGAGTGAGACAGTGGACTGCCTGAGTGAATATGGAATGATCTTGGTAATCTAATTCTAATTGCAATAATTGTGATGCTAAGTATTATAACAGTTAACAAAAGTAATTGTGTTTTATAGTCCTTCTAAAACGAAACGTCTAGTCTATAGGTCAAATGGACATTTAGCAGAGAGTCATTTTGAGAAGTACAAGTCCAGTGCTGCTAAACAAAAAAAATAGTTTTGCCTTTTATGATATCAATAACTTGTGTTAACTTAGCCCAAATGGTACAGAAAAACGGTTAAATAAAAAAATAAGGTTACACTTTATTTTAAGGTGTCCTTGTTACAGTGTAATTATACATTTAAGTACTGATCGATATTAATCAACTACATGTACTTACTCTACGGTTAGGATTAGGGTTTGGTTTAGTTACTTGCTTGTAATTATGCATAATTTATTGTTATTATAATAGTAAGTACATAGTCCTTGTTACATTTTGTACTTGTTACAAAATGTAACAAGGACACATTAAAATAAAGTGTTACCAAAAATAAAATAAATAATAAAAGTAACTGTCACCCGTCCCCTCTGTGGGACGCCTAAGTTTACTTCACTATATTACAATTAAATCCTAATCTAATCATGACAAACTATATATCGTTGGAAAGGTCTAAGACTCCTAAATATATATTTTACCAATGTTTTTGTTAAAAATTATGTAGGAAAAGTAATAGATAAATTTTTGACAAGAGTGCACCTCAAAAATCTACATCATAACAGGAGTTCTGACCTTTGTCAAAAAAAGTCTTCTTTGTTGCCTTTTTCTCTATCACACTTTAGAAATCATCAGAAATTATATATCAATTGAAAACTTTAAATCTCAAAATTCATCCATTGAAACCCATTTTAAAATCAAACATTGCATTAGCATGAAAATGGCACATCAATATCATGTTACAAACTGTTTTCGTTCATGAATTATACAAATTTAAGTTTGGATCGTGCACTTTCACGTCTATGTTCAAAAATGTGAGTGACAGTTAAGGGGTTAAATTAAAATATATATTTACAGAAAAGTATAATATTATATATTAATTGTAATATTTATATCCTGCAAGTATAATGCTATATTTATATTATTCTGAATATTGGAAAATGTTGAATATCTGAGACAACTGTTGAAGATTAATATATACATATCTTATATAAAAGTGTGCACCAAAAACTCTTTGTATTATGCCCAATACAGAACGTATGACTCTGATTTCAACATCTGAATAACGACAAAAAGCCAAGACAGTAAAATACTCTAAAATGTTTTTTCACACCAAAACTGCTTAAACTGGTTCAGAACAATCAAATACATTTTTTATTAACCATGGATCATCACATGGTATTTCAAACTCATGTAAAGGCGTTAACAGTCAACTTAAGGGAAAATGGCAATTATTGAATTTACCGATTACAGACAAGTGTTTGAATGCACAGCTGTTTTTTTTTTTTTTTTTGGTTGTTATTCA